AATAAGTCGAGTCTTAAGTGCTGGTTGGACGGCCCTTTGGCCCTCCCTCTCCCCCGCTGCGCTGCATGTCGGTGGCCGCGGGCGGAGCAAGAGCCGTGTGAACTTGGACCCGAAAAAAACAAAACAAACACACTTGTCTCGGTGTAATCGCTTTGCATATTTTGCTCAGTTGTTCTAATTTAATTGCTCCTTTCCTTCTCTCATTCCTCCCGTCGCGTTGTCCGCCATCCAGTCAAGTTGTAGAGCCGCCAGGCCGCACGGCTCCCGTTATCTTCGCACTCGTAGCGCTCGACATTTAAACGCATTTAAATCAAAATTAACTATATCCATTGAGAGATGACCCATATCGTGCGTAAGTTCTTTCGGATCGCAGGGCTCAAATCAGGATGGGTATAGTTTCTTTTGATTTGAATCCGTCCATTTTTCATTTGTCTTATGAGAATCGAACCAGTTTTCCACGTCACTTCAAAACGGCGGTCGCGCCTCGCCGTTCCGACTGTCGCTATTAATCGTGACGTCACCATAGGGATTCGCCATTATATCGACTGGATCTGATTCGATACATCAAACAGGCGTTCTATCGCTGAGATTTATCGATATCGATCGGTTCAACATGTGGACACAGCCTCAGAAGTCAATCGAGTAATCTTTGGGAACTTGTTTTTTGTGTTTGATTTTTTGTTCTTGTGACTATTATGTCGCAATGATAAATGGTATTGTTAGGAATTCCCTATTTTTCAGCTTTTCTTACTCAAATCCTAAAATTTTTATTTGAGGTCATGTTCCATTGTTTTGAACCAAAGGATACATCGAACCACTGGAGACTACGATCCATTGGATCCAAACGATAGCATAAATTCTTTCGATCCTTACAATGGGAATGAATCGATTTATATAGGTTTTCTGTGACGTGACACTAGTAGCGTCTAGGAGTCAGGAAGAGATGGAACACTTGTTACTGTTATGTAGAGAATTCGCGCGGCGTGTTGATGCATTTGCACATTAAAATCTGAGCAAAATCACGCGTTTTACTACACAGACGTTGTCTCTCCCTGTGTATACCAGACTTTTTAGCTCTCAGACCTTTTTTTTTTTAATTCTTTAAAATTTGAACTTACGCTGAATCGTATAAATTGAAAATAAAGCAGTCGAAAGTTAATTTTTTTTTTAAAGAGGACAGGGTCGTATATTTTTTTAATTTTTCACCTTCTGCTCCTTTCCCCCAAGTTACGTTCAAAGGCCGATCAAAATAGAATATCGCCGTGAAATATCTGCGAAATGCTCAATTATTTCTCTTTTCTTATCGAGTCCAACTCGGGTCAGTTAGGTGGGCGGGCGTCTCTAAATCATTTTACCCACCCCCAGGGGGGAGGGTGGATCTGGAGGTGGAAAACATCCACGTGACAAACGGGGAGGGGGAGAGGGGTGTCGAGCCAAAGTGACGTCCCCGCATCTCGACACAGTATGTAATCACGAAAATTCAAAAACGTATCATACCTGAACATGTCTGAAGAAAGAAGGAACATGTAAGTGAGAGACTTTAAGAATACTAAACTTAAAGTATAGCAGTATTTTGCTTATACATTTTACGAGAACAGAATAAATGATTAGGTGCGCATTGCGCAACGTTCTGGCTATGAATTGGTGAAGGAATACCTTCACTTCAGAGACTTAAACGATCGGTTATAAAAGAAGTTACCAAGTAATTTTACATCCTCATGACTTGCCTTTTATAATATTTATCTAAGAATGATGGTCTATTTGGACCTGGTTTATTTCATATTTAATACAATATGTACTTCTAAATTATTTTTCAAACAATTTTTTTACATACTTCATTTATTAATTCTATATACATGCATTCCACTTCAACTTAATAATAATTATGTGTTGACCTGATTTACTCCCGTGATATACTCTTTTTGGAAAACAGTGCGAAACTTCAATCATTCATACTGAGAAAAGAAGCGGATTTTTGACTTGCCTAAAGTGCTTAACGTTATTTTCGAGTCATTCTGAACGCCTACGCGGAAGGGGGGAGGGTACGCTTGTAACGATGTGTTGGTGGGAGGAGGGTGTCAGAGTGAGTGACATGTAGATGCGAAAGGTGGAGGGAGGGGTAAACAAGTCGGGGAAAATGGGTGACGTAATTTATGGATGATCCCTTCCCGATGAATCGAGGAACCGGAAACCACTGCAATCTTTGGTGGATCGTGATGAGCGCGGGGGGGAGGGGGGTTCGCCAATTTTTGAATAGCGAGGAAGTACTTCTCCACATGAAGTGGCTAATGTAAGCAAGTATGCAATGGAAGATAGTATAAGTAATGGGCCGTAAAGCATCATGACTCCTCTCTCCAGATGAGCGTCTGAACTTATTAAACGCGGCGCGGCGGAGGTGTACGCCAGAGTTATGATGTAAGAACTGACCCGAATCTGAAAGGCTACTGCAAGTGCACATGAACGCCAGCCGCCCCGCCGCCTTGTAAAAATGTCAAATCTTGAGTTGTGCTTAATTATTGGCAAACTCGTTTATATCATTCGATGCTCATTTCAACACATGCCTCTTTGGCTCCGAGTCCACCGTCAATCCAGCCGCAGCCGTTGTTGTTGGATGTTCATACTCTTTCTCTGTCGCGCGTATTGTGTTTTGCAACGGGCTGCTTTTGACATGAATCTGGCTGCTCAGCGCGCTTGCACTTTGTAGGAGATCGGTTCGGTGGAGCATAGATCGCAACTTCGTACAAGGTCACTCTGACTCTAATAACTGTATTCACATAGAGCTAGCTTTCTTCCGCTCTTTGCAGTCAATAAGTCAATTTGTGGGAATCACTATACTTACCTGTTTTTTTTTTTTTTTTTTTTTTTTTTTTTTAAAC